TGAGCTGTGGTTGAAAGCTCTGAAAACAGTTAGAGGACTTTGAGTTAACACCGTCTTTATTTGAACAGTATTTTCTGGAGCTTTTCACTGCGTCTCCTGGGGTCTCATTTATAACCGTTGCGTCCGCACAAAACGGGGCTAAAGGTGCGTACGTGACCCCTTTTCATGACCAAATCAGGGCATTAAAAAAGGGGGTTCTGTTAAACAAGAACATTACTTAACGAATCAGAGATCAAAGACACACTTCTCTTTTTAATTCTTGGGACTGTGCGGCGTCCGCGTGCCACTGACGAGAGTTTCACGAAAATGCTGCAGCAACATTGTTGGCCACTCACTCTGCTTTTCTTGTTAAGTGAATCCCCAGTCCGCCCGTTAATGCCGAACAAGCAAACTGCTTTTCGGGCCTCCACCACCCCACAAGTGTCTCCACTTCAACCTCCGTGAACGCCTGTTTTATTTCGCTTTTTTGCTTTTCTCCGTCCTTCTGCTATTCTTTCGCGCAAGACGATAATACTGCATCTGAGTCTGTTATTATATCAGATCGCATTCTCCGAGGTTGTTTGCATGAACATATCTTATGGTTCAACAAAGGGCCGTGTAGCAGGGCGGGAACCGTGAAGCCTGATTCAGGCTGCGCAGCATTTGTAGGACTCTGTGATTATAAAGCAAAGATTGCTTACAGGTGTGCGTACGCAGGGTTTTATAAGTCTGATATTTTTTTGGCGCACGCAAAACTTGGCTTATTGGCCGTACGTACTAGCTTTCAGTAACGATCCCCACGAGCCACAGTTTTATAATGGAGAACCACCTGGTCTTTATAGTATATGGACAGTCTTACCTCCTTGCGGTTCTTCTCCTGTCTTTCTGATCTCCTGTCTCATGCGTCCATACTTCTGGAGGGAGGGCGTCCACCTCCTTCACTCTTTGTCCGGAGGCCGTGGCGGGTCAGACGCTGTTTGAGGAGCGGCGAAGGTCGGTCCATCCTCTCAGACTCAGGTCCGAGAAGCTCCTGCAGGGCCAAGCTTCCTCTGAGAGTGCGCCCTCCTTCAGCTCCTTGTCTTTGACTCTCAGGCGCTCCAGAGAGTCGGCCAGGCTGCTGCTCACAGGACAAAAAAACGATAAAAAATAGAATTTAAAATAACAAAATTAAATCAATAAATAACAGGTCCAAGCCAGCCAGGATTTGCTATTATCGGTATATATATATAGTATATACAATCATACATACCATAACACACATTATCATCCAACACACACACCACACACGTACATATGAATCCGAGTGCCCTGCACAGCGGTGTAGTTCAGAATGTGACAGCCAGCGTTTGCAACCACCTTAATAACAACAGGTAGTACCCTGACAGATGGCTAAATACACCCGGATCTGTTCTTAATGGATTGGAACTCAGAGTGGATCATTGGATGGTTCTGAGAAAGATTGATGAAAATTAAGGTCTTAGATTCTGCAGGTTAATATAAGACCTTTTTATTGGTTTTGATTCTGCAGTTAGAGAAGGGACCCAGATTTGGTGACGTACTTTGTGGACGCTTCGTCTTTCTGCCCCTGTCTCAGGCGTCTTACCAGACCTTCTACTCCGGCAGGCTTCAGTTTGGAGGCGGCAGCTCGTCATAGTTCCTGTCTTAGAGTGACGCTCTTCCAGCCTTGGTGCTCGCAGCCATAATCAAGAGTCTACACAGCGACAGGGGCAGGGCCTAAACCAATAGTAATCATTCTTACTGGCATTATTATACTACTGATACTACCGGCATTATTACTACTACTGATACTTTTTTTTTTTTTTTTTTTTTTTTTTTTTTTTTTTTTTTTTTTATAGCATTATTACTACTTACTGATACTACCGGCAATTATTTAACTACTATTGATACTACCGGCATTATTACTAACTACTGATACTAATAGGCATTATTACTACTACTGATACTACCGGCATTATTCACTATACTGATACTACCGGCATTATACTACTACTGATACTAATAGGCATTATTAACTACTACTGATACACCGGCATTATTACTATAACTGACTACTAATAGGCATTATTACTACTACTGATACTACCGGGCATTTATTACTACTACTCATACTAATAGGCATTATTACTACTATCATACTAATAGGCATTATTACTACTACTAGTCTCTGACCTGCCAGTTTCTTTTTAAAGCGTCGATCTCCTCATTCAGCTTCTTGATTCTTTGTCACGGGAGTCAGTAGTCCCTCCTCTAGCTGGGCCTGCAGGGCCTGGGTGATCTACAGAGGACAGACGACAGGGTCAGACGACAGGGGTCAGAAAGTTTATTCATCCAGTAATACAGCTTATTTACAGTTTTCAGTTATCTACTGTGGTATTTTATCTCACCCTAGCAGTTTGCGGTTCAGCTCCTGTTTTCCTGCTCCAGTCGGCGGATCCTCCTTTCAAACGCTTCTACCTCCTCCTCCTCCACCTCCCTCCCCCTTCTTTCTCCTGCCGCAGACCGAATCCCTGACCGGCTGACGGAGCGCTGTCGGCCGAAGCAGGCTGTCGGTGGTGTAGGTTGAAGCCGCGAAAGGGGGAGGTGCTGACCTGTGAAACCAGTGTGAAGACCTGGAGGGCTGAATCTCCTGCAGGAGAAATATTCCGTCAAGGACTGGGTTTATACTGGAAACATCTGTACCTGGTTTACGACCAGTACGTGATGGACGGTCCTCAACGGTTCTTTGAGGACGTCGTTCGTCGACGTCGAAGTTGAGGTGTCGGTGGCGAAGACACGTCGGGATGTAGGGGGCCTCTGCGGACGGATGTTGTCCCAGTCTGATCCCGCTGAAGAACGGGTGGCTCTTGAGATCAGAGATTCCATCAGCCCAGTCGTCGCTCCCTCGAGCACAGCAGGGCGCTGGATCAGATCTTTGGCATCCTCGGAGACGTCGGACACATGGGTAACGGGAAACTGGAACCGGCTCCTGAAGACAACCACACAAGGAAGGACAACCCTATGTCTGTCAGACTTTTATCATGTAGGTTTAAAGAGGAACTCAATCATACAAGACAATCAAATTCAGGATTTTAGATTTGATGGGTGCAATGTAAACCTTAAGCACTATTGTGGCTTACTCTCGTTGCTTTTGAGGAGAAGACCCTGGCGCGTCTGGCGTAAAAACTTTGAGAGGAAAGTAGTGTAAAGAGGCCAGGACAGGGACAGACCAGAAATGGAGAGGCAGGAACAGGTGGTGGTTGGTCACTGAGACTTGAGGTTCAGATTTAGAAAAGAGAAAGTAGGGCGAGAGTCTGGAGAACCAGGAAGACCTGCAAAACCATCATGAGGACCTGAGACAGATTTGTTCCCTCTCACAGAACCAGTTCTGGATCTACTAAAGTCTTGGTTCTGACTCGGCTGGTTCATGATCTTGCCATAGGTTTCACCAGGGACCTCAGCGTAGAACGCTTTTCTCCGTACAGCATCTCGTACATGCAGACCCCAGAGACCACCAGTCACACTCCGGTCCGTACGCGGCCGCATCCATCCCCTCCATGGCCTTTGCAGATCTCTGGGGAGATGTAGTCGGAGTGCCACTGCCACGGAGGACTGCACCCCCCCCTTGCCACCCAGGGACCACCACACATTATAGACTGCTGTCAGTGGAGAGCTCTGACTGATCAACCAAACTCCACTGGAGAAAAGCGTTTTAAAAGTGGTTTGCTCGTTGTCTCACAGAAAGACAGACAAAGTCTTAATTCATCATCGATGGATATTTTGGATCTGTTTCTATATTATGATTAGTAAAATCTGTTTATTTTGGGCTGATACCGTGCAGTGAGACGGCATTAAAGGTATTAATTTACACGCAGTAAATTTAACAATTGAACAGAGTGTTTGTTTTACCGTGCCGTCCTCCATCATACGGAGACAGGGATCCAAAAGTCAGCGAGCGGGATGTGACCATTGACGTCCAGCAGGACGTGTCTGGTTTAATGTCTCTGTGAGACAAAAAACACATTTAAATTCTTAAGTAATAAACTAAACATTAAAGATATTAACATTAAAATAAAAACACTGAGAAGGAGGTCAATAGTCTGACTGGTTGCCATGGTTTAACAGAGAGAGAACTCAGTTTCTGTACAGTAAGGACTTGAGGCTCAACAGGATCATAACTACATTCTCAGAGACACAGCTGGTGAGGAAGAGCCACTTCCTCCAACACACACACCACACACAACACACACACACACACACGGTAACCAGCTGCTGCAGTATAACCAGTGATATAACAGTATACAACCGGTATATAACAATATATAACGTTATAAAGTATATAAGAAATATATAACCAGTTATATAACCAGTAGCCTAGTGGATGTATGCTGCTGGTGGATGGAGTGGATTGGCGAGCACCATCTCAGCGACGAAACTTGACCATTTCTTCAGGAAGACATCCTCAAACTTACTGACGCAGAGTCAGCAGGTCCACACGTAGTAATCCATCACGGTACTTAGCAGTAATACACATGTAATACACATATTAACACTCACACTCATCCAATTCAATTCAATTCAATTCAATTCAATTTTATTTGTATTAGCACCAATTCATAACAGAAGTTATCTCAGGACACTTTCAAATAGAGCAGGTCTAGACCGAATCCTTTTAACATTACAGAGACCCAACGTACCACCATGAGCAAGACCTTGGAACAGGGGCAACGAAAAAACTGCCTTTTAACAGGCAGAAACGTATAGGACAGACCTTCGGCTCTTAGGTGGGTGGTATTCTGTCTTGACCAGTTGCGGGGGGAGAGAGGAGAGAGAGAGAGAGAGACGAGAGAGAGAGACGAGAGAGACGAGAGAGACGAGAGAGAAGAGGAGAGAGAGAGACTTAGAAGAGAATGAGAAAGACTTTAGAGAGAGAGGGGAGAGAGAGAAAACAGGCAGATGTACAAGCGACAACAGTAGCAACAACTACATAATTAACGATCGATGACATCAATGAATACAGGACGATGACGATGACAGCCAGCAACGATTGGGGCGCAGCGAGCAGCGACAACAGTAACAACAGAAACTGACAATAAAATACTTATAACTAACTAATAATAATAATAACAAATTAATCATCAGTGATTTTAGCCATTGGTATTCAAGCACGACCATGGCAGGAGAACTCATAAATCCTGACCTGAAAATCCTTCAAATAAATTAATCTATGTTAAAAAGTCACACAACTGTTTGGGCGACTATTTTTTCTAGAAATCTATAGAGAGAAGGGAGTTACGAAAAATGTCTATAGTTGGCTAAACCCCTGGCTCGAGAGTGGGCTTTTTAAGAAGGGTTTAAATTAACAGCCACTTAAAAAGGACTGTGGTACAGTCGTGAATTCCACGCTCTCCGAATTATAATATTAATGAAAGAT